GTGAGTTATCTTGATAAGTTTGATATTAATTACATATCAACATTAAGACAACTCACATATTTTATACCAAATCTTTAAAATTCAGTGTATATGCATCTCATCTCAATTCAAACTAGCCACATTTCAAGTGCTTACCAGACATGTGTGGCTACTGTATTTGACAACACAGCTCTGGATGAATTTCTGTAACATCAGTATTCAGAATGGAACAACAGTATCTATTGTAGAGCACTTACTATCCTGCGTTCTGTGAGATGCCTCACTCTAATATTCTCCCCCCATTAACTCAAATAGTTACCCCACCACTGTCATCACTCCATGATCCTATAAGCTCTCATAATAGCTCTATCACAACGCCTAAGTATAGTACTACCTTGCTTATTAAACAGTGATTTATCCAGCAGTGTCAACTATTTGGTACTCAGCAAAGAAGAAGCAAAGTGACCTCTAATTTAGTCAAGATCAGAATCACAAAGCTTATACCCTAAAACTAAAGCTCTTTATTTGGAGATAATAGGAGTATAATTCACATCTCCTATTCTGGGATTAACAATACTTTAAATAACATAATCTACACTGTAGATATGACTTGAGAAAGAATACATTAGTCTTTCACACTGATTCTAATTTATTCTTTTTTTATTTTTATTTTACTTTAGGTTCTGGGGTACATGTGCAGGTCATGCAGGGTTGATGCATAGGGCATACATAACCAGGTCCTAATTTATTCTTAGCTTGTACTGAATTTAACAGTATGAGTTAAGATTTAATTTCATTGGCCTCTTCCAGGGTCAAAAGAGAACCATTCATTCATTCACTGATACACTGATTCATTCAACAGTTCTCAAGAGAGCACTTTCTACATTCCAGGCACTGTGTTGGAAAGTAAAGCTATAAAGATGAACAGATAAATTTATCCTCAAGAAGCTTGCAGTCTAGAGGAAGGAGACAACCTTGTAAATAATTACAACAGAGTAAGATAATAAAAATGACCATAAAGGAGGGTAAGGTATAATGAAAATCAAGAGGAATAATTATTAAATTAGATACCTGAAAAGGTATCTCAGACAGAATTAAAATAATTAAATTTTGAAGGATGCTAAAAGCTGGCTGGGTGAATTGGGATGGGGAGATCAGTAGAATATTCTGAATCTGAAGAGAACAGCATGGACAAAGGCATAGATTTGTAAGACACAATGACAATTTGGTAATTCAGTATGTCAGAATCTGAAGCTGGAACAGGACAATGAAAGAAATTAACATCAGACAGGTGGGCAGAATTGAAACTAAACAGCCCTATAGGCCATGCTAAAGAATTTAAATTTAATCCAGTATGAGAGGTGATGGGAAGCCACTGAAGAACATTGAGCTGACATAAAAGTGACATGATTGTATCAGGATAGAAAGATGACTCTTCTGGTAGTCTAAGAGACGGAGGATAGAATAGAGTAAAAGATTAAAAAATCAGGAGCAAGGAAACCTATTAGAAGACGATGGACATATAAGAAATGAGTCACTGAATCAGGACAAAGGCAGCAGAGCTAAGGAGGCGGATACAAAAGATTTAGGAGGCAAGACTGACTTGGCAATAATATCAAGTTAGTTAAATCCATGGGTTCAGAAGCCAAGCTGAATGACCTCCCTGTCTTTTGGCTCTAATGTCCTGAGCTAGTTATTTCATCTCTTTGTGCTCCAGCTTTTCAATCTATGAATGTTAATAAAAATATCCACAAAAACTTCATGTAGATAAAGCACGCAGGACACCTGGTAATAACTGATAACTTTAGAATGCTTATTATTGTGGCCAAATTAGAAGAGGGGTATCTAGAAGCAAACACACTAAAAACAATAAAAAATAAAGGAGAAAAACGTATAACTAAAATAAATAGTAATACATGGTGATTTGATCTAAGAATAAATATCCTTCAACAGCCTGGAGCACATTTCTAAACAATAGTGATTAACTTAAACATAATCAAAGTTATAATACTGACCTTATATTTCTTAATTTTACATTCAGAGTTTGTAGATGATATCAAAGTAAAACTTTCCATAACAGCTTCTCTAACAGTGTTCATTACCACCAAGAAGAGAAGCTCACTAAGTTTTCAAAAAGCAACTTCACTTCAAGGTTGCCCATCTGAACTGAGTCCATATCAACAGTTAGTGACGGTTACTTTATGGCTTATGTAAAACTTCTAGAGAACAGGTGTCCACATCTGAATAGTCTTGACCACAATTGACTCCCTTGTTGGTGCTGCTGTGAAGAAGTGTTGAATGGGCTGTTACAAGATTTTCTATACATGAAGCACCAGAGGGCTAGGAAATACTTGTACACAATGCATAATAGGGGGCATTAAAAGGCCACCCGGGCATTTGCCTAAATTACCACTTTTGTACTGATCAAATAGATGACCCTTGCCCTAAAAGTCAGCAAATTCTGGTTTTGACAGAGAAGAAAATTCAGCTACTGAAAAACTTTTAACCTTGGTTTCTTTTGGACTATTATCCATCAGTAGGCAATGTTTTAGTTTTAACAACTGGCTAATTCCGCAGCTACTTCATCTGCAACAGAAAAGTCAAACCCCAAGCTAAGCTTAATGAATAAGATCGTATTTTGTAATTTGAATAAAAAAGGATAAATTATGGGATGAGGTCATTACTGTTGTTGTTTTTCAAAGTATACACAGAAGCTGTGTGAGGGCTTTAAGAAACCAGCTACCAAGAACATGTAACTTGATTTATAATTTTGTTCAAAAGTTCATATAAACTGACATCTTATATCACATTATACTTAGGGCACTAATACTCAGGTATAAGGCCTACTGATAAAATGTGAACCATAGGGAAACAATGGGTTCTCATGTTGGCTTTGAAATTGACTAGAAGTGAGCAAACCATTTAGCTTCTAGAGTGTTATTTTTTTCCTCTACAAATTAATTATAAAATGTTTAGAAATAAGAGCTGAAGAGAAAGAGATTATTATTAACTAAAACATATTTCAAAATAGGTAGGCAATTCCAAAGTAGAGAAACAATCTAGATCCACAAAGTTCTTAACTAGGAGTTGTGGGGGTACTTTTGGAAGAAAACAATATTCATCTTTAAAACCCATAAATGTTACAACAATTAGAAAGACTGGAAAATAAGAATATTTAAAATGATTAGAGATAAAAGAGAGAGTACATAATTATGTACATAATTATTTGTACATAATTATGAACAAATTATGGCATTAGGAATAAGGAACAAATTTAGAAAATAATCCAATAAAACATATAAATGAATTTTTAAATTCATATACATAATGAACCCTTTGAAAAATACAATTTCCATGAAAAGATTTACATCAAGACCGAAAAACCAACTACTGAGAATGCTATTGAAAAGATTTCCATGGAAGACTATCTTACTAACAGCAATCCTCACTCTTACCCCTCCATACAACCACGGCTGTTTGACCTTCATTTTCAAGTCATTTAGAATCTCACATGTTAATACTAAATGGAAAATGACAAAATAAACATGGGATGGGACAGAAGCATCTCTTCCTGTGAAAACATCAAAAATTAGCTTTTCCAAATGATTTGGACTTTTACTTAATTGAAGTGTAAGAAAATATATATTTAATGAGCACTCAATTGCAAAAAGACTAGATGAGTTTGGAGTTTTTACAGGCATTTCTCATACCATTAAACTAGGATAAGAGGCCAAGGGTAAAGTCATCCTTCTAAAAGGTAAAGTTGATCTTCAACTATGCTATAAAAAGTATAATGAAAAATCAGAATTTTGGGTGTTCAAAAGAAAAAAAATCTCAAAGGGGACTAGAATGATATTTAAATAAAAGTTAGTAGGGCACATGGGGAAAAAATTGGGCCTGGAATCAAAAGATGAAAAAGGCTATTATAAGTCTGCCACATTTTAGGCCTTTCAAAGTATTTATTAATATATATTTTGTTCACCATTTAACCAGATAGTTATGAGATAGGGAAATTTTATATATACATATATATATGAATATGGATGTATAAAAACCCATTAAAATAGGATGTATAAAAACACTGCATTATAAACAGCTATCAAAATATAAGTCAAATACTTAATTTATATAAAAGGTAAAATTTGAAAGGGTTTGAAGGCTTGTTATAATCTGGATAAATGGAAGATGACTGGTATCCTAACAAAAATGACAGAGGCAAAATTAGCTTACTTATTCAATAGAAACTGAAAGTGTGAGTCTGGCTATTGTGGAAGTAATGAAAATGAGGATGAAAGGTAAATTTAGGCCATATTATAGAGAACCATGTAGTACCTACCTGGCAGAAGATAGGGACCTGTCCTCTTCTAAAGAAGCCAGAGTTGGAAAATCTTTCATTTCTCTATTCATTAGAAGGCAGGGTTTGGGCACATGACCAGGGCTCTAATCTCAAGGCATGCAGCAAGTATTTACGGGCCTTTAGGAAATGATTTATGGTAGCTGTGGCAGCATCAAGTACTGCCATAGCATAAGGGTCCTAATTAGATTCTTCTGAGGCTTAACTTGGCCTTGGTTCTTGGTTGTTTCTAGAATCCTGTCCTCTCCCTTTCTGCCAGTTCTGTGGAGGTATACTATAACTTTCCAGTACATTTTTTTCCTGCCTAAATTGGCGAGAGTTGGTTTCTGTTGTTTGTAGCCAAAAACTTAACAGAATTGCATGCCATCTATAAAACAGACAATATACTTACCTGGCACTTTCATACTGTTTCACAGTCATTAATGTATCTTCAATTGTTTTATTCACCAAAGTGTTCACACTAGCAATGAAAAAATTAATGGCCCCAAGAAGAGTCTCTCCATTTTTAGCCAGCAGCTTCTGGGTATCTGCATTATAGCCAAATTCTTCCTAAAACAAAGAAGTTGCCTTAATTCATCCAGTAATAAATTAGTGACTTAAAAATCTCAAGCACACCACTAAAGGGAAAATATGTGATTTAGAGATCTAGCTGTAGCAGTTTTACTTTTTCTTTCAATCTTTAAAAGAATTTAAATCACAGTTAGCTATATAAATCTTTAAAATTATAGATTTTTAAGATATAATTTTACATAGAATTTAAAATATAAATCTTTAAATTAAAAAAAATTTAAATCACAGCTAGATATAAAATTACTGAAAAAGTCTAATAAACCAAAACTGTCATCAGCTCAGATACATAGCTAAAAGCTAAATAATTTTTATAAGTTACTTTGTAGTAGAAAGAATATTTTCATTTCTATATTTTGTTTCTATTATGCTATAAGCACAGATGTTAGAAAGAAAAATATAGCAGATTATTCATCAGAGAAACTGTAACTATCTTAGCCAAATTAGGTAATAATTGGTTAAAACTTTCAGACATAAAACAAAGTATAAATTTTCTGTGTTTTGACTGAATCTCCTCAAAGTATAAATATTAACAACACACATTTCTTTGTAAACTTGGTGACCAGTTGACTCCCAGCTCAGGTTTCTCTAGGTACACAACTGAGGAAGGATCACTCAACACCAGATTTAGTTCATTCTTTTTGAACAAACTGCATCTTGGTGCAGTAAACATTACACATGACTCCTTCAGATATGGCAAGAACCAGCTCCAGCTCCGTATGTTTAGCAGTAAAAGCTTTCCAGACCAAGTTTTACTAACTGACAGATTAATCAGGAATGCATCTAACCAAATAAAAAAATTGATCACATAAGATGTATCATTTAATTTGATAATTATCCAGTTTGTGATAAAACACTTTTCAATTTCAGTTGAAACAAATAATGTAATATTAAATTAATTAGAATCTTAGAAGATACAAATTTAATGCTAGTGCAATAGCTGTAATTATATTTCTTGGGAGACAAAGTATTCAATAATTCAGCCAATAGCAGGAAAGTAAAATTATCTTTATTATGCTAAAAGCATTTTCCACTTAAGAGATGTCCATGTAACTCCACTCTGGACTCAAGTCTTCAAAATATTATAGACTTTGATTTGCAAATATTGGCAAATAAAGGACTACATAAAAAGATTATCAATCAATGTATATAAAAACTAAAATGAAAGACAGGACAGCTTAATATTTTTGGCATCAAATTTCCACAAACCAAGTTACACACTGAAGTCTATATAATGTTACTGGAAATTGAATAATACAGAAAAAAATTTTTTACAACTTTTTGAAAAAGTTAACACAACATATTACAACAGTAACCATTGATATTCATTAAGAAGTAAAAGACAAAATAAAAAATTAACAGAAAAATATGAAAGATTTACATAAATACAATAATTCATAAAAAGTAAAGTTAACAGAAGTCAGTTGGACCTTCCTAAAGTGATATAAAATCTCTCTTTTTTTTTTGAGACAGAGTCTCACTGTCACCAGGCGCCAGGCTGGAGTGCAGTGGCACAATCTCGGCTCACTGCAACCTCCGCCTCCTGGGTTCAAGCAATTCTCCTGCCTCAGCCTCCCAACTAGCTGGGACTACAGGCATGCGCCACCACACCCAGCTAATTTTTTTGTATTTTTTAGTAGAGACGGGGTTTCACCATGTTGGCCAGGATGGTCTCAATCTCTTGAGCTCGTGATCTGCCTGCTTTGGCCTCCCAAAGTGCTGAGATTACAGGCGTGAGCTACCGTGCCCAGTCATAAAATATATTTAAAGAAAACCTGGGAATTCCATTTTCATTAAGATCAGAAAATCACAAATATAACAAATTACTTCTTAGAATACTTCTATTATCATTTTCTCCCATCCTTAATACTTATTTAAAATAATCTTACATGAAGTTCTAGTGACTTCAAACTCAGGTCAGCAAATGCATCTCCAAGTTGCCTTTGGGTATGTACCATCTGGAAAAGCTGGGTCGACAATGTTTGAGCCAGTTTTAAAATATTTTCATATTTTTTCTTGTTATCCCTTAATATATCAATTTGAGCTTCAAGTTCAAGGTCCACAGTTCTTGAGCCACGGCCTAGCTTCTCAGAGATAATTTGTCGAGTACACTAAAAGTGGAAGATGTATTTTGTTTAGAAAGAAAAAACAAAACGAAATATAAATGCTAGAGCATATGGCATATACCATTTTTTGGATTCAAACAAGCTAGCCTAACAAACTGAAAACTGTCAGCTCCCTTAATTGATCAGGACTCAGAAAGTAAATTCACCAGACGTGTCTAATAATGATTACTAATCAAAGGACATTTTCAGACTTATCTAGCAAACTTATATACTGCCATAAGAACTCGCTCACATAATTATTTTGCAAGTTTAGAACATTTGGGTAAATTACTTAAAACAGAGATTTTGGCACTAAGACTAATATAGGCTGTTAATACAGGAATAATAAGAACGCTAAAATACTACTCTCTTATTGCTGTCAAATGCTCTTTTACTTCTGTCTTCCCCCTTAAATGACTTGTATATATGTGTGTATGAATGAGGAATGAAAGAAAGAAAGAAGAAAGAGGAAGGAATGAAAGGAGGGGGGGAAAGAGGAAGAGATATTACTGAGTTCTTTACTTTTGCCCAGACAGCATGGTATTATATTGTTATTGTATTCTGCCCCAGAAATAATACAGAAACATACATATATATATTTGTGTGTGTGTGTGTGTGTTTTTCTGAGATGGAGTCTTGCTCTGTCACCCAGGTTAGATGAAGTGCGTGCAGTGGTCCGATCTCGGCTCACTGCAACTTCCGCCCCTGAGGTTCAGGTGATTCTCATGTCTCAGCCTACCAAGAAGCTGGGATTACAGGCATGTACCAGCATGCCCAGGTAATTTTTTGTATTTTTAGTAGAGATGGGGTTTTGCTATGTTGCCTAGGCTGGTCTCAAACTCCTGGGCTCAACTGATCTACCTACTAGACACTACAGAACTCTCCACCCCAAATCCACAGAATATACATTCTTCTCAGCACCACATCACACCTACTCTAAAATTGACCACATAATCGGAAGTAAATCACTCCTCAGCAAATGCAAAGAATGGAAATCATAACAGTCTCTCAGACCACAGTGCCATCAAGTTAGAAGTCAGGATTAAGAAACTCATTCAGAACTGCATAACTTCATGGAAACTAAACAACTGGCTGTTGAATGTTGATTGGATAAACAATGAAATGAAGGCAGAAATGAAGATGTTCTTTGAAACTAACGAGAACAAAGAGACAATGTACCAGAATCTCTGGGACACATTTAAAACAGTGTCTAGAGGAAAATTTACAGCAATGAATGCCCACATGAGAAGCAAGGAAAGATCTAAAATTGGCACCCTATCATCAAAACTGAAAGAGCTAGAGGAGTAAGATAAAAAAAACCTCAAAAGCTAGCAGAAGACAAGAAATAACTAAGATCATAGCAGAACTGAAGGAGACAGAGACACAAAAAAACCTTCAAAAAATTAATAAATCCAGGATCTGGTTTTTTGAAAAGATCAACAAAATAGACAGACTGTTAGCCTGATTAATAAAAAAGAAAAGAGAGAAGAATCAAATAGATGCAATAAAAAGCAATAAAGGGGATATCACCACAGATTCCACAGAAATACAAACTACCATCAGAGATTAGTACAAACAACTCTATGCACACAAACCAGTAGAGCTGGAAGAAATGGATAAATTCCTGGACACTTGCACCCTCCCAAGCCTAAACCAGGAAGAAGTCAAAACCCTGACTAGACCAATAACAAGGGCTGAAGTTGAGGCAGCAATTAATAGCTTACCAACCAAAAAAAGCCCAGGTCCAGATGGGTTCAAAGCCGAATTCTACCAGACATACAAAGAGGAGTTGGTACCACTCCCTCTGAAACTATTCCAAACAATCCAAAAAGAGGGAATCCTTCCCAAATAATTTTATGAGGCAAACATCGTCCTGATACCAAAAGCCAGCAGAGACTCAACAAGAAAAGCAAACTTCAGGCCAATATCCATGATGAACACAGATGCAAAAATCTTCAGTAAAATACTGGCAAGCCAATTGCAACAGCACATTAAAAAGCTTATCCATCATGATCAAGTAGGCTTCAACCAGGGGATGCAAGGCTGGTTCAACATACGCAAGTCTATAAATGTAATCCACCACATAAACAGAACCAAAGACAAAAACCACATGATTATCTCAATAGATGCAAAAAAGGCCTTTGACAAAATTCAACAGCGCTTTAGGCTAAAAACTCTCAATAAACTAGGTATCAACAGAATGTATCTCAAAATAATAAAAGCTATTTACGACAAACCAACAGCCAACATCATACTGAATGGGCAAAAACTGGAAAGCATTCCTTTTGAAATCTAGCACTAGACAAGGATGCCCTCTTTCACCACTCCTATTCAATATAGTATTGGAAGTTCTAGCCAGAGCAATCAGGCAAGGAAAAGAAATAAAGAGTATTCAATTAGGAAAGGAGGAAGTAAAATTGTCTCTAGTTGCAGATGACATGATTGCATATTTAGAAGACCCCATCATCTCAGCCCAAAATCTCCGTAAACTGATAATCAACTTCAGCAAAGTCTCAGGATACAAAATCAATGTGCAGAAATCACAAGCATTCCTATACACCAATAATAGACTAAAAGAGAGCCAAATCAAGAATGAACTGCCATTCACAGTTGCTACAAAGAGAATAAAATACCTAGGAATACAATTAACAAAGGATGTAAAGGACCTCTTCAAGGGGAACTACAAACCACTGCTCAATGAAATATGAGAGGACACAAACAGATGGAAAAACATTCCATGCTCATGGTTAGAAAGAATCAATATTGTGAAAATGGCCATAGTGACCAAAGTAATTTACAGATTCAACACTATCCCCATCAAGCTACCAATGACCTTCTTCGCAGAACTGGAAAAAAACACCTTAAACCTCATATGGAACCAAAAGAGAGCCCGCATAGCCAAGTCAATTCTCAGCAAAATGAACAAAGCTGGAGGCATCATGCTACCTGACTTCAAACTACACTACAAGGCTACAGTAACCAAAACACCACGGTATTGGTACCAAAACAGAGATATAGACCAATGGAACAGAACAGAGGCCTCAGAGGTAACGCCACACATCTACACCTATCTGATCTTTGACAAACCTGACAAAAACAATCAATGGGGAAAGGATTCCCTGTTTACTAAATGGTGTTGGGAAAACTGGCTAGCCATGCACAGAAAGCAGAAACTGGACCCCTTCCTGACACCTTACACTAAAATTAACTCCAGATGGATTAAAGACTTAAACATAAGACCTAAGGCCATAGAAACCCTAAAAGAAAACCTAGGCAAAACCATTCAGGACATAGGCATAGGCAAGGACTTCATGACTAAAAGCATTGGCAACAAAAGCCAAAATAGACAAATGGGATCTAATTAAACTCCAGAGCTTCTGCACAGCAAAAGAAACAATCATTAGAGTGAACCGGCAACCAAGAAAATGGTTGCAATCTACCCATCTAACAAAGGGCTAATATCCAGAATCTACAAAGAACTAAAACAGATTTACAAGAAAAAAAATAATAAACCTATTCAAAAGTGGGCAAAGGATATGAACAGACACTTTTCAAAAGAAGACATATATGAGGCCAACAAACATATGAAAAAATCCTCATCATCACTGGTCATTAGAGAAATGCAAATCAAAACCACATTGAGATACCATGTCATGGCAGTTAGAATGGCAATCATTAAAAAATCTGGAGACAGTGGATGCTGGAGAGGATGTGGAGACACAGGAACACTTTGACACTGTTGGTGGGAGTGTAAATTAGTTCAACCATTGTGGAAGACAGTGTGGCGATTTCTCAAGGACCTAGAAATAGAAATTCCATTTGACCCAGCAATCCCATTACTGGGTATATAACCAAAGGATTATAAATCATTCTATTATAAAGACACATGCACACATATGTTCACTGTGGCACTGTTTACAATAGCAAAGACTTGGAACCAACCCAAATGCCCATCAATGATAGACTGGGTAAGGAAAATGTGGCACATACACACCATGGAATACTATGCAGCCATAAAAAAAGATGAGTTCACGTCCTTTGTAGAGACATGGATGAATCTGGAAACCATCATTCTCAGCAAACTGACACAAGAACAGAAAATCAAACACTGCATGTTCTCATTCATAGGTGGGTGTTGAACAATGAGAATACATGGACACGGGAGAGAGAGATCCAAGATGGCTGATCACTAGCAGCTTGGGATTGTAGCTCCCACTGAAAGCGCAGAGAACGAGAGGACGCCACACTTTCAGATTAATTTTTGTTGCTCACGCACCAGGAGATTCCCAGCGGAGGAGACCCACTCTTGCCAGCGCGACTCTTGAGGCTGGTGAGGCGGTTTTGCCGCTGCCTTGGTGCGGCGGTTCTTGGTGCAGAGTCAGAAAAGCACTATCAATCTTAAAGCCGCTGTTTTGGCCGGCACAGTGGGTTGCTCAGATTTTAGCGCCAGGAATCAACAAGTTGGACGTCCATTCAGAAACCCAACTATAAAGATGGTAATTATAAAGACCACAGATGGATAAATTTATAACGAAGGGAAGAAACAAGCCTAAAAAGGCTGAGAATACCCAAACTCAGAACGCCTCTCCCTCTACAGGGGATCACAGTTCCTAATCAGCAACAGGACAAGGCCTGATGGAGAAAGACTGTGTTCCATTAGCAGAAGCAGGCTTTAAAAAGTGGATAAGAAACTTCTGGGAATTAAAAGAACTTGTTCTAACCCAATGCAAAGAAACTAAGAACTTTGAAAAAAGGTTTGACGAAATGTTAA